AAAAAAACTAGTTAAGTATAAACCTTTCTATGTATGAGCTTATTACTTACTTGTAATGGTAATATAAGTACAGTTTGAAAAAATGACACAACAATAAATACCTGATAAGATCGGTAGTCAAGTTCTCTTAATCTTCCCAACTATTATAAAACCCGTTGTACCCTTTCCATTTCACCAAATATTTAACCTGAAGATTTTAACTATAAAACTTTAGTATGTAAGAAAAGTATTGAAATATATTACCAGGGCAAATTGTGAACTCACCGTTCCATGTGATGTCCTCCTCGAGATTAGCCTTTCCACGGCAGAATAATCAGAAGAGACATAAGCTTTTCTTTTTCTACATTTTTTTTTATCCCAAAGAGGGTCCGCAGAAGAAATATTGTGCATTTGAAGAAATATACCGCGGCTATTCTTGCTCGAATACCTTACGCCGCTCGCCATAATTTGCTGTATGTAATCTGATGCAAGAACGCGTGCGTAGTAGGAATTTTTTTTTGGATACACGAGCCCCCGTTTCAAACCGCTGACTGTCAGATTTCTGGCCATGCTCTTCTGAGACGATCAGGTTTCTTGAGGTTAATGACAAATCTGTGTGGTAAGTACCAAGTCACTTTACTATCGCACTGTCCTTCTTCTTCACTCAGTTTCTTCACATAGCCTTTCTCAATGTTATCCTGGATTGACTTTGCATCTCTCTCTCTGACCTCGGGGCAGCTCTCAAACTTCTTCTCTAAGGATTGCAGCCTCTTTGCCATTTCGTAATTGTTGGCTAGAGATGGTTCCCCTACTCTCCAAAGTAGGCCTGACGTACGCATCTTCACTCGCATTCTTAAAGGTTGTCTTTTCCATTAGTGACAATGCTCGCTTGTCCTCAATTTAACGGGTTGGATATGCTAGCTTCACCACAGCGAACGTTTCTATCTCTGACTGAGCCACGACCAGCTGCTTCAGCTCCTCATCTTCAACTGAACTTCTTTCATACACCTTGAACCCATTGTACGGAGATGGTACTCTTCGCTCACCAGGTAACCAGTTAGTCACCGCCCATCCAAGTAGGGTCTCAACTGCATAAGGTACTCTGTCAACTTCCGGTTGAGCAGAGGGTTTCACAATTTGCTTTGGTAGAATCAAGTCAGAGTTGTTAGTTCCAATTATGAGTTGCACTGTACCTGTGTCGGTGTCACGTAAGTCCAAGTTCTTCAGGTGCTGATACTCTTGCTTGATTATTGACCACTTCAACTTCTGATCCGGACCATTCAGGTGAGGAATTTTTTTCACATCTTGCAAGGAGTACTGGGCTTCCTCTCTTCCGACTCGTGCGACACGACATCTCTTGATGTGCTGGGAAGTAAACACCTT